TTTTTTTTTTTTCCCCCCCCAAATAACCGTTCTGTCTTCCTGTCATATCTCTTTGCAGAATCCAGATTCCAAAATGATGCAAATCAACCTGACTGGTTTTTTGAATGGAAAAAATGCTAGGGAGTTCATGGGGGAACTGTGGCCACTGCTGTTAAGTGCACAAGAAAACATTGCTGGTATTCCAACTGCTTTTCTGGAACTGAAGAAAGAAGAAATAAAACAGCGACAGGTAGGATTTTATTAAAGATTTGCAGGTGAATTATGTGGGTGTTGTGCAGAATTAGTGGCTGTACAGCTATTGGCATTTCAGAAGACATTTTGTATCCTGCAAAACTCTTACTTGTGCAACAAATATTTTAGTCCTGTAGCACTAACTTTTTTTGTTTGAAATAAATTTTTAAGATCTCTATTACGTTTTTGAGTTAAATGATGATATTTTCTTGCTTAGATAGAGCAGGAGAAACTGGCTTCTATGAAGAAACAAGATGAAGACAAGGAGAAGAGGGATAAGGAAGATAAAGACAACAGAGAAAAGAGAGACAGATCCAGGAGCCCAAGAAGGTATTGTTAGCGCATTTTCGGATCAGTTTATTAACAGCACCCTAGACCAGGATAAAGTCTGCATGGCAGTGAAAAATTTCAATGAAGTTTGGAAATACGCTCTCCTGAGCTGTTTCAGTAGAGCAACATTGACATATGTATTGTTTACAGAAGGAACTATTTTTAATGGTTTGTCTATTCCAGGCTATCTTTTTAATAATTAAAGTTTGTAATTGTATTTGGCTGCCAACTACTAGCAGAAAATCTAAAGTAGTCCTACATCTGTCTTCAACTGTTGTAGTCAGTCCTGAGAGTCTAGCTGATTCAGATGCACTTTTAGCTGCTGAATATTCAGTGTTTCTTATTTTCCATACATTGTTTCATTATGTTATGCTATTAAATGACAAATCTTTTTCCTAGACGCAAATCAAGGTCTCCTTCCCCTAGAAGGAGATCGTCGCCTGTCAGAAGAGAGCGGAAACGCAGCCATTCTCGCTCCCCTCATCACAGAACCAAGAGCCGCAGTGCTACTCCTGCACCAGAAAAGAAAGAGGCGACTCCTGAGCCAGAACCTGTGAAACCAAAGGAGACCATTGTTCAAGAGGCAACATCAAACAGGTAAGTGTGATATCTTAGTGTAGAACTATCTAGTACCTTTTGAAAAATGGAAATTATTTCAATATCTGTTTAGAGCTTGGCTTGAAGGGGCTATCTACTTCTCCCTGTCCTGCTGCACTGGCAAATGAATTTTTTTAAGCTCTTCAGTAAGATTTCTTTTTTCCGCATGTAGATTTCTGAAAGCAGAATGCTTGGCTGTCACTGTTATTTCATTCTACTGATTGTCCTCTCCACTTCTGTCAATGTCAATTTGTTTCCTAGCAAGCTAACACACAACCTAAAAATTACTCTTTCTTCTCTTTGAATCATTGTACCACGTTCCAGTTGTTTTCCAAGTTTTGGAACTTGGAGTGCCTAAGCTGCTGTCAGAGGATGGGCGAGAGAATGTTCATTATTGAGAATATCCTGTCAACTTCTAAGATGTTACTCCAATGGCTACAGTAGTGCTTATAAGTTAAGTCTTTAATTTTAACAGTGATATCCCAAAAGCTCCCAAACCTGAACCTCCTGTACCAGAGACTAAGGAAACTTCACCAGAACGTAATTCAAAAAAGGAGAGAGAGAAGGAGAAAGAGAAGACCCGTCAAAGATCCCCAACTCGGTCCAAATCAAGGTCAAGATCTCGATCACGTTCCCCATCTCATTCTAGACCAAGAAGGCGTCATAGATCACGGTCAAGGTAGGATTTTAATTGACCTTGATTGCGAAGATTGAGACCTGAATGCTTGCTTCTGAGGTAGCTATTGAAGGTAATGTTTTCAGTTAAACTAGTGAAATTTCTAGAGATGAGTTGTGGATGTTTTAGGCCAAACAAGAAAGGCTCATTCAAGGAACAAGGATGTTTTCCTCCTGTTAGTTCATGAGGAAATGCTCACTGTGACTAACGCTGGCTGGGGAAGTTGTTAGATAGCGGGAATTTATACATAGTTTCCTTCAGGAGGTAAATTTGATGCCAGAGATGCTGGATGCTGTAAGGTTTTTACTTGTTTTTTGTTTAATGTTTTACTGCCTAATAGAAAGGTGTTGGTAAACTTAAACCCTCTTGATTGTGGCTAAACAAACCACGTTGCACTGCAATCTAAATGCTGCTTTAAGGTGATGCACTTGGAGCAAAGCAACTTTAAACTCGATTCCCTGAGGATAAATTACCTCAAATCTGTGGAAAGTTAGATAGTTGCTTTTCATTTGAATTTCTGATTGTGACAGGTCTTACTCCCCTAGAAGGCGACCAAGCCCAAGACGACGACCATCTCCACGGAGGAGGAGTCCTCCGAGGCGAATGCCTCCCCCGCCCAGACACAGAAGAAGCAGATCCCCTGTGAGGCGGTAAGATTTCCTTTTTTTATTATTTTATTTTATTTTTTTTTACTATCTGGAAGTCTTAAACGTTGAAAGTTGAAGGGAAACAGTAGTTGTGAGGAATGGATGTTATGAAAATTACCTTGTTCATCTTATATCTCAGTACCGTCAGTTATGTATGAATTGAGTGATATAAAATTGCAATATCGTATTTCAAAAGTGTGTAGGGGGAGCCAGGCTAGTAACTGTGAAACAAAGTCTTTTGAATCGAAATAGTCATGAGAATTTCATCTCCCTTGTTGATAAGTGGCACTTTCAGAATTGTAACTCATTCAGATGCCCTTGGATAGCTCCCAGCATACATTGATATGAGGTTTTTCGACTTTTTTTTTTTTTGCTTAAGTTTTCAGTATTTTAATTTTTTCCCCTGTAGGGAACAAAAGAGCAAGTTACTCTGGATTTTACTTGTTAGGAATTTTAAGTTATGACTTACTGTTCCATCATATATAGTTAAAGAGGATTATAATTTTGACTTAAAATTTATTTCTCCCTCATGTTCTTTTAATAAAAAAAAAAAAACCTTTTAAACTGTTTTCAGGTCTGCTGTCTGGTGTTGAGGTTACGTTTTTGCCAGCTTAAGCAATTGTTCTATTAGCAAAGCTCTTGAGTTATTGCATTGAACAGCAAGTTTTATACTTAAGGCAATGACAAAATGGACATCAGTCATAATAGGAAGAGAATTAAAGTGGTGCTTCCTTTGTTGAAGCTTTTTTTGTCACAAGATGATGACTTTCTTTTTTGAGTTTATAAAGAGAGTCATTTAACACAGTTACTGGGAAAACTGTGAAAAGTGTCAAACGTGTATGTTGCAAGATGTACAAGAACTCCCTTTCAGCAAATGTTTATCTCACTCAAGGTAGGGTTTCTTTTTTCCAGGTTCTCAGGAATTCTGCAGCCAAAGGTGGATTCTGCAGGTACACAATTGCAACAGAACTTGCCACAAATTTTGCCGCAGAATTCTAGAGGCCCTACCTTTTAAAAATTACGAAGTAAAGATGAAAGTCTAAAACGAAAACATACAAAACTGGATAGATTCAGAGTTGTTGTCTGATTTTTATTTTTTTATTTTTTTTGCCTCTTGATGTAAAAACTTTTTTAGTGTTCTTGCACACTAAACTCTTAAATAGCTCTGTTTTGGAGGTCATTAAATCACATATGCTAACATGGAGAATTCGCTTAACCATCCAAAAGCGACAGAGCGAAAAGAAAACTAATTGCTCCCAGGAAAAAAGCTTAGTCATAGTCTGTAGATTGACAGAAAGCAAGCAAAGGTAACACTAACAATTTTTTGCTCACTGTCTAAAAAATAACTGTGAAAGATTGATTGTTAATGTTCTCCTCTACAAAACAAGTGTTGAAGGTTGTCCACCATGTTTTGGAAGCGCTCTTGTACGCGGCTCTATAGACATGCTTGCAATTGAGTGCAGTTCTCAGTGTTTATGTTCAAACATTTCCTAAACTGGCTAGTCAGAATCTAATGTTCTATATGATTTGCAGGAGGAGACGATCATCAGCATCTTTATCTGGCAGCAGCTCTTCCTCTTCCTCCTCGCGTTCCCGATCACCACCAAAGAAACCACCTAAAAGAACTGTGTCCAGTCCTCCTCGTAAAACACGTAGACTGTCTCCTTCCGCAAGTCCTCCTAGGCGAAGGCACAGACCATCCCCACCAGCAAGTCCACCTCCAAAACCACGTAGGTCTCCAACACCCCAGCAGTCAAATCGTGCAAGAAAAAGCCGTGGCTCTGTTTCTCCTGGCAGAGCATCAGGTACTCAAATATAAATTTGTCTTTCAGCAGATTTATGATTCTGTGCTTTTTTTTTTTTTTTTTTTTCTTCAAAGATAGTCTCTAGTTTGTATGGGCAGAAAATCATACAACGATGTAAGAAGTTGCAACTAAGTTACAAAAAAAAGCTGATTTAACTCTGTCTTTTAGCACCCAAACATAAGAGTACTGAAAAAAGAGAATCTCCTTCGCCAGCGCCAAAACCAAGGAAAGCAGAACTGTCTGAATCAGGTACAGCTCTCAGTTTTCAGCATAGGCTTTGGGGTGTTTAGTGGTTTTTTTGTTAGGTGATTTTTGTTTTTCTTTTGTTGTCGTGCATCTTTGATTTAAAAAAAGGCAGTGGTAAAATACTTACTGAACCCCAAAAATTCTTGCTTTCAATACCAGTTTGAAAATGGAAGTATAATCATTCACGTTGTCTCAGATATTTCCATTTAAGCTTTCTTGAAAGAAATCTCAGCCGAACTATGTAATCCAAATTGATTGTTATCTTAAGATGTAAGGAAAAAGTGTACTTGATCCACTGAAATATTGCTTCACTTCTGTCTGAACCAAGCAAATTTGTATCCTTAGTTTTAAATACTCTGTATGTGTGTGTACTTTTTCAGAAGAAGATAAAGGAGGTAAAATGGCTGCAGCAGATTCTGTGCAGCAGAGGCGTCAATACAGAAGGCAAAATCAACAGTCTTCGTCTGGTATGGATAACATATAAGTTTCTTAAACCCGGATTATGTTTAACACTAGATACTTTCTGCCCTGATGAAGTTCATATTTTGATTAAAATTATTTTCAGGGTACTCTACAGTGCTGTTGAAAACTTAACTACAGACTTACCACTCTTGCGTTAATGAAGTCATTCTTAATTATTGCTCACAGTGCTTTCATGAGGAAGAAAGCAGAATTTTTAAAGGCTATAGTAAATCTTTGTTAATGGGCTTTCATCTTTAAAAGTTGCAGTTTTAAGTCCTTACCATCATGTGAAAATATTGTTTACTGGGGTGTACTTAATCTGTTATTGCAGTAGGTTATTTCCTAATATTTTCGACTCTTGCGTGGTCGAGTTTGGTACATTAACCTGGGTTTGGCCTGGGTTGTTGTCTACTTAACGTTTCTGTATGTGCCTGCAGTTTACCTTTTAAATTGCCTGGCTAGTCAAATTTTTTGTGGACAATTAGGTTGCTGCCCAGTTCTAGTGGATGAAATTTGGAGGTAAATATTTACTTATCACTTGACTTCAACAAATGTTTTTAGTAACAGGTTTTTAGTTGCTTGAACTACTTTTAAACAGAGACTTTCTTCTGTGGGAGAGGTTAGTAGTTTGAACAGCAGTGTAACTATATTGGTAACGGCATAAAAGTGCCATGAGAATAATTTTTCAGGAATTAATTCTTCTGTATTTATAGATTCTGGTTCATCCTCCTCATCTGAAGAGGAACGACCTAAAAGATCCAATGTGAAGAATGGGGAAGTTGGTAGGCGTCGGCGCCATTCACATTCACGCAGTCCGTCTCCTTCTCCACGAAAACGACAGAAGGAATCTTCCCCTCGGTAAATTCTTCTTAAGCTGTGCATAACTGATGCTTTTTTTTTTTTTTTTTTTTATAACTGACTTTAGTTCATGTTTTGTGCTGGGTGACTGTCGGCTGATCCCCAGCAGAATAAATTTGGTTCAGTTAGCCCAGAACTGCACAAACAGAATAAAGATGACCTTTTTTCTCCAAACTTTATCCTACAAATGAAAATGAGAATCTTGGTGCTGGTTATAGCAAGCTTCCTCTATAATGACACGGTCAGATTTCCTTCAGGTTCTGTTGAAGCCATGGATTTCCATGTGTTCTGGGCTGTTGTGCTTGGTTCATAGTAGAGATTCCTAATAAATTTATGCTAAAGTTCATCTGATCCTCTTTAAATTGTGGGCCTCTGGAACTCACCAGGATAAATCAGGGATTTTTTTTTTGTTTTGGGGGTTGTTTTTTGGAGTGTGTGTGTGGGTTGTGGTGTGTGTTTGTTTGTTTGTGTGGCTCGCCCACATACGTTCCCCCCCCCCCCCCGACCAGCTCTGCCTCTTACCCTCTTTCCTGATCACTGGCTGCCATAAATGGGATGCTGGGCTAGATGGACCTTTGGTCTGTTTCAATATTGCATTCTTCTTATGCTCATTTGTTGAGAATTACTTTGAATTTTATTGAGCATGTTCATTTTTGCCTCAAATATATGGCAAATAGAAAATTCTATGTTTTGTTTTTCTTCCACTGCTATCAGGATGCAGATGGAAAAGAGGTGGCAATCACCAGTGATGAAAAGGTTGGTTAGAAATTAATCTGTTTACTAGAATTTGTATATAGAAGACCATCGAGAAAGGCTCTCACTTCGTCATGGATTAGTATTTGCTATCTTTTCTGCTTTGGCCTTGCACGCTCAAAGTAGTAAGATCAGGGAGATCAGACTATTCTCTTAATGCCTTGGATCTGGGCCACTTCACTGGAGGAGGAGGAAAAAAAAAAAAGGCAGGTGCTTCTTTTGTTGTTGGGCTTATGTCCCTTGTTAGTCACTACTTCAAGTAAGTGTATAATGGCCAGTAACGTGCTGCCTGATGTTGCCTTAAAACAGCAATGCATTTGTATTCTTCCAGGATTGTTCTTATTCCATATACACAGATTTGAAAGACAGGTGAGCACCACTCTTGTGTTCTTGTTGCCGTTGATGTTCTGGCTAAAACCCTTCCCTAGACCTGCAAGAGTTGATAAAGATATTGATGTTCTGGGTCACAGATAATTGGAATTTCAGGAAGTCTTGTTCCTCCATCCTTTAAATATTTGGAACTAATAGCAGACATGGGCACTGAATAAGAACTTCTTTCCTTTTGTTATGTAGGCAGTATTTGTAACACCTATTTGTGAAGATGTGTGCTCTGTGCTGAGCCCAGAATATAGGAAAGTACGAGAGGCTGGGTGTACGATGAGCGTATTAATCTGATGTAATGTCCTGTGTGCGTAATCTGTAATTGAGGCCTAGCTAGAATATTGTTGCAGCACACGTAATCTGATTCATATGAAGTGTGACTACATTTTAAAATGTAGACCATTATCATTCTGGATCTTGTTGCTTGCCGTACAGTTGCATACAGAACAGACTAGAATGTGGAGATACTTTCAGCTGCTTACAAAACAATACATTCACCTATTGTCTTCTGCATAAAGCCTTAAGTGCTTCATCCTAGTCTAAATGTTCAGCACTGTTGTGAGGTGTTTAATTGGGACAACCATGACATTTGAAGACTGATATTTTTTCAGATCGTGTAAGAATGTTGTCTTTTGGGGCAAACTCTTATATATAGAAAGCGTAACTCCCTGCCTTGGAAAACAGCAGCCAGGGTATTTGGAAATAAATCTTAGGTAACTTATTTAGATGAGCTGTCTGCTCCTCCTCTCACCAAGCTGTGCTGCCTTGATTTTGACTGTTTCATTACTCTCATTTTATCCTTTTTCCTTCATTATTTATTTAAATTGCTTTTAAAAAAGTACCTATATCCCTCTCTCTATAACTCCATGAAAGCGTGTTTGATCAAAGTTTCCCCTCCCAGAAGTCCGTAAACCTATCTGAGAGCAGAATGGCTCATTTTGTGAATAACTTGAATCCAAATAGCAGCAGTTAGCACCAACTCTGATTTTTCTCAGCATTTCAGGAAATGGTAAGTCATCCTAGACTTCAGATCTGTAGATAAAGCTGTTTCCAAGGGTACAGTTTCACACTCTGCTTAATCTGATTCCACTTGAGGCTGCTGCAGAAAGTACTTTTCTCCCTGTCACAGCTGGGCTTTTCCGTCCCTCCCTTGTGTTGGATCTAGCAGTTGTGTTACTGCATGATGACAGCTTTTTTTTTTTTTTTTGGTCGTTGGATTAGTCTTCTGTTGGATCAGTGAGTGCATCTGACTCATTAGGTGATCACTAGATTCAGTGCAAGAGAGATGGCAGAAATGAGAAATATATGGGAGAGAATAGGGCTTCCTCTTTGGCTGCAGGTTGCAAATTGATCAGGTTAAGCAGATTGTGAAATTGTCTCTGACTCTAGTGTAGTGGGCTCTGAAAGTTATGTCTCATGCTTTTTAGAGATAGACTTGGATGTAATTTTTCCATTAGTAGTTCTAATAGAATTTCATTTTGAAGAAGTGCATGAACAAGAATAATTGGCATAGAGAAAATGGAAGAATAAAAGAGAAAAATCTCACGTCTCAGTTGCAACTTTTCTGAGTAATTCCTGTGCCTCTTTAGTAGGCGGAGGAGAAGTCCATCACCCCCACCAGCCAGGCGGCGACGCTCTCCTTCACCTGCCCCTCCTCCAAGGCGGCGGCGGTCACCTTCGTTACCTCGTCGAAGGTACTGTGTTGCATTTTACCATAAAGTAGTTGCTTCTGGTTTGCACTACATGCAAAAATAAATGCTGTAATTTAGGAAACCCATTCCTTGATTTGCAGCTTACTGAAGGGAGTATAATTTTGGTAGCGAGGTCTCTTTAATTTCTGTGGTAGGTGTGTGGCTTGGACATAGTATACCCGGTAAGCTTGTTTTCCAAAAAAAAAAATAGCTATTAAATAAGGTTTTAAAGAATTTTTAGAGGAACGCTCTTGTAATTTTTCTCCTCTCTGGGCAAATTGCAAGGCACTTGCAAGTAATTCACATCTGTGGCATCTAAACTTTTGTTGCCTTTTTAGGTCTCCATCACCACCCCCACGCAGACGCTCACCCTCTCCAAGAAGATATTCTCCACCGATACAGAGACGATATTCTCCTTCTCCACCTCCTAAGAGAAGAACGGCTTCTCCTCCTCCCCCTCCTAAACGAAGGGCATCACCTTCTCCACAGTCAAAACGTAGAGTCTCCCATTCACCACCGCCAAAACAAAGGAGCTCACCAGCTGCTAAGAGGCGTTCACCTTCAGTATCTTCCAAGCACAGGAAGGGGTCTCCTCCCAGTAGGTCTAATCGGGAAACACGTTCGCCGCCGCAAAACAAAAGGCATTCACCTTCACCTCGGCCTAGAGCTTCTCATACCTCTGCAAGCCCACCGCCACTGCGAAGGGGAGCTTCGGCTTCACCTCAGAGAAGACAGTCTCCATCTCCAAGCACTAGACCCATCAGGAGGGTGTCAAGGACACCAGAACCTAAGAAGACAAAGTAAAAAAATCTATCTTCTTTCTTTTGTGTTTTTGTTTGTTTGTTTTTGTTTTTCTGGGTAATAGGACGAATAGTTAGGGGATCACGCTAAAACAGTGCTCCTGTGTCTTGATGTTGCTCAAGTACCAATGGCTCTGTTTGGCCTCCACCTGCATACAGCCAACTTCTAACATGCATTTTCTGAAGTTTTTTTTTTTATTAGGTGCTTGCAATCTTACAAAGTGCAACCCTGGGAGAAGCTTTAAGGAGGCTTTAGATAGAGTTTGAGGGGTCTTCTAAGAGCACAGAAAAGCAGTGGAACTGAGCAAGTGAAAACAACGCAGCTGAATGTAATGTCTCGCACTCTCTCTTCATTGTGCTTATAAATTAGTCACATCTGAAGAAAGGGAGCAGTCTGAACATCGGTAGCATTATCCTTTTACAAGCTATCAAGTTGCAAGATCCTTTTGCGTTACTGATCCACAGTGGCATTAGATTGTTTTGCCTTTGTAGCATATGCCAACACAATAACCAATCATTTTCTTTTTAAGTGGCAGCTTAGCCAAGTTTTAAACAAGCATGTTTAGTTTTTGTCACTCTAACTTCTTGTGTTGTCTCTTAAATGCCTCGCAGTAGTATCTAATTGTGGCTTTTCTGTTTTTAAGGGCTTCCACGCCAAGTCCACGATCTGTGAGACGGGTGTCTTCATCAAGGTCTGCCTCAGGATCACCTGAGCCAGCACCGAAAAAACATCAAGGACCTCCATCTCCTACTCGGTCTCGTTCACCTTCTGCAAACTGGTCACCTGCAAAAAAGGCTAAAAGTCCAACTCAGAGCCCATCACCTGCAAGGGTATTTGTTTGCTAATAATAGTACTGTTTTGGGTTGTATGGCAAGTTATTTTCATCAGGACTTGTTTGCTGAACAGCTCTAAGCTTATTCACATGCCAAAAAAAAAAAACCTCTTGGAGTGATTTTTTTTTAGTCTAAAACAAATTCTTGAAAACAATTTGCAATAAAGATGTTTCAAGTTTAATATTCACAAGTCTGAAAAAGTGCTATACTATGAAAATTTTAATTTACGAAAGAAGAGGCTCTCCCATCTCATGAAGCTACCGAGATTACTTAACAAGTATGGCTCACTTAAAATGAGTTCCGTGCTCTGCAAAGTGAGAAGGTTTGATTTACGCTTAGTAGTCTTACATGCAAACTCGGGATGTTCCTAATAGGAAAAGAAGAGATTCTCACATCCTTATCCATTCTTTGAATGTGTTGCTGGAGGGCACTTCCGTTCTTTATTGGAGGAGTGTTTTGGGGAGTTAAACTCCAACTACAGTATTCCTTTCTAGGAAAAGGCTTGTGTGTCACTGCTGTGACCAGCATACCACGTTTGTGTGGTGTTATGTTCTGTTTTGAGATGCTGCACTGCAGTGTATTGGAATATCTCTCTCCTAGGATTGCATCTGTCAGTCGATTGGGAATGTGACTTCCCCCATTCTGAAAACTCGCTCAAGTTTACTGAGCTTTGCATGTTGCTCTGTCCATCTGAATTCCCCAGTTGGGCAGGCCTGTTTTAACAAAATCTTTCAGCCTCAGAAATGAGGTGTAATATCTGTTGAACTGCTTCTGTTACAGAATTCAGATCAAGAAGGTGGTGGGAAGAAGAAGAAGAAAAAGAAGGATAAGAAGCATAAAAAGGACAAAAAGCACAAGAAACACAAAAAGCATAAGAAGGAGAAGGCTGCAGCAGCTGCAGCAGCTGCTGCCGGGGCTGCAGCAGATACCACTTCGGCACAGGAAGACCAGGAAGCAGAGACAGAACCCAAAAAGGTAGGGGTTTGGTCTGTGTCTTTTCCTATATTTTAGTTTCTTTGAGTGCAATTTAAGAAAATAAATGGAGATTAATGTTCACAGTGTGTGCTCTTGATGTCCTGAATAAGTCTTCAGAAATGCAGCTTAGTGCCCATGATTTTACTTGTTGAATTGAAGTATTGGAGGGCTACAGCCTGACTTGGCTTATCTTTCAGTATTTGAAGAAATGCTTTATCTTTGTTTTAAGGAGACAGAAAGTGAAGCAGAAGACAACCTGGATGATCTAGAAAAACACCTGCGAGAGAAGGCACTGAGGTCAATGAGGAAGGCGCAAGTGTCACCACCATCTTAGGGGGAAACCTTTGATATAATGTACATTTTATTTGGTTTGTACTCAGAATTCAATTTCAAATTGCTAAATGTGTTTGAGCTTTAGAATATAACATTTGTTGTAATAATTGCTAGGTTGAGGTTCACCATGTACAAAGGGCATGGATTTACATTACAAAAGGTGTCCACAGTGTACTAGTGACATTCTTTCATTGACAGTCAACATAACTTCATTTAGAGTGAGACTTTTTAGAAGCAGTAGGAATTTTTTTTTTGAGGGTTTTAAACATGGCCATCAGTTCCTTAGTTTCTTTAAAATTCATCAAAGCATTTAGAATAATTTGTGAGGGTCTCATTTTACTTCTTTTGTACCCACTTACATTATGCTACTAACCTTTGTGGTTTGTAAGCTTGCCCAGGAGTAAAACCACTGCGGAGTTACCAAGGAAGTACGTATATTTTAATGCTTTCTACTGTTGCCTGTATAGTCTCCATTAAAGTGAATCAAGATTAGCAATTTAGAATGGTACATAAATGAAAGCATGTTGTTTACCAGGACACTGTGGGTTTATATTGATGTAACATGTTGATTTGGAACACTGGAATTTCATTTGTATTTTTATGTTCTTTTTTTAAAGGGCAGTTTCCATGATCAGCAGTCACAGAAAAATTCCTTCAGTTACATAAATTTTGTTTGTGAGATGTCGTTGCCCCATTCATAAATCTTGTCTCGTTACGGTTCTTCTGAATGATATAAGCAGCTTTCAGAGATGTAGTCTTTGAAAGTTGGAGGAACCTGAACTTTGGATATTGTCATGTTTTCACTGTTTTTTGTTTTTGTTTTTTTAACTAAAGCTATATAAAGCTTGTGGATTAAACAAAATAAATTTCTAAATTTAAAGAGATGTTGGCTATTTTTATATGAACATTTGCATTTGCTAATCAGCTTTCTTTTGTACAGGGTTATCAAATACACAGATATGGAAAATTGTTTGATCCAATATGCTGGCTTTTTGAAAAGTGGGGCTTTTGTTTTTAGCTGTCCTACTGGTAGCAGAAATAGCCCTTAGTTAATTCAGTGATGTTTCTGTTGTCTGGATTGGTGTTCTTGCAAAGCAAGAGTAAAACAATCTACCTGGCCAGCACTCTGTTAGGATGGAGAAGTTAAAAAATAAAAATAAATTGCCTGTTAAAATTGCTTGCCGTAGCAAGTAGAATGCTTCAAGGTCCTGCTAAAATGTATGACTCTTAAATGGGAAGTTTGCATTAACTTAGCTAGCTTTGCTCATGTGAACACTGGTTTAAATGCCAATCTAAAGAATCCTGTTGGCACGCTGCCTTTTTCGGTCATATTTGAAACTTACTGGATTGCTGCTGTCAAATCTTTCCAAAAACTCAAGTTCTGGTTCTGAAATCAAGTCACTTCTGAAGAGTCTTAAGACTCCTCAGGAAGGAAGAATGAAATGTGCTTTTGAAAATTTTTGTCCTGCATTTGAAGTAGATGTGATGTTCAGAATTAAGTGTAGATATTTGATTAG